ACTTGTATCAACTTTGTCAATAAAATTTGTTGAAATGAAATGAATGCATTACAGTTAAGTTTTATTGGTGCAATAACGCGTGAGGCTAAGTGTTAATTAACGTATCGAAAAACTGTCTGCTGCCAGCATGTTATATATATAATATCGGAACATAAATAAGATATGAAGACTGATCAAACGACACCAATGTAAAATTGGACAGTTATTCGTAACGATTAACATTCTAGGTTCACTTTCTTTCCCCTGGGAAGTCATCTTAAAAAGTTATTCGTTTTTCTGAATGACGAATAACGAATAACTGTCCAACTTTATTTTGCTCCAAACGACTCGTAACCAGCATATTTATGTATTTCTAAACATTTTCTTCAGGTTGGTAAGTATGGATTATGAGAAGTTCTTTTTACAAACCAACAAAAAATTATATGTGACGTTTCGATTACTTGTACGATATGTACACTGTCACCTTCATCAGACAAATGACCAATGAAGCGTATGCAAACAAAGGTGTAAACATTTTACACTTTGTGTGCAAACAAAAACATTTTACGCCTTTGTGTGCATACGCTTCATTGGTCATTTGTCTGATGAAAGTGACAGTGTACATATCGTACTAGTCATCGAAACGTCACATAGAAAATTTTATTGGTTGTGTAAAAAGAACTTCTGATAAAGCATATTTGTGTGTTTTTAACCTCACTTATCATTTTAAAAACAACTTGCCTGCATTTGTAAGATAGCATGTCTTCTGTTTAGTTTCAATACCTGACCGATTACCTGGGGTATAACAGCTTCTTAAGTCGTCAAACGTAAAACAATTGGGGCATCATTAGTTTAACTAGAAGTAAACATTCCTTGTCGCAGTATAATACCAATCTCCCATGAGGGCCTTCATTGGTGCACTTACCCAGAGCATGCTCTTGATTTTTCTGTTGGCAAATACGCTGCCAGTAACAGAAATGCTTCATTCGCAGTCGAATCACGATATTACTTTATTTCAGTTATATGTAATGAATGCATCTCAGGTCGTCGTCGACCTCAATATTTCCCTGATTTTAACCGCAGAAATCCTGACGAGTGTAACATTTTTTTCCGCCTCCCCTTGTTAATTTGATGTGTGTCTTCCTGATAGTCGATTTTTACGCGGTTGTCCATATAGTTGACATTTTGTATCGACCTGTGGCTCAGATCGTTGTTATTCGTGTTGTAATATTCATT